GGTTTTGCATTGCAGGTTGCTGAAGAGGTAGATACTTCTGAACCATCTACTTACAGAGAAGCTGTTTTAAGTTCTGATTCTGAAAAATGGCTAGCCGCAATGGGAGATGAGATGGAGTCCTTGCAAAAGAATCAAACACGGGACCTTGTCATACAGCCTCCAGGGAGAAAGGTTATCACTTGCAAATGGGTTTTCAAAAGGAAGGAAGGAATATCACCAGCAGAAGGGGTCAAGTACAAAGCCAGGGTCGTTGCCAGAGGCTTCAACCAAAGAGAGGGAGTGGACTACAATGAGATTTTCTCACCTGTGGTCAGACACACTTCCATCCGCGTGCTACTAGCGATAGTTGCACATCAAAATCTGGAGCTCGAACAACTTGATGTGAAGACAGCATTTCTACATGGAGAGTTGGAGGAAGAGATATACATGACTCAGCCGGATGGTTTCCAAGTTCCAGGGAAGGAAAGTCACGTTTGCAAGTTGAAGAAGTCCTTATATGGACTCAAGCAGTCCCCAAGGTAGTGGTACAAAAGATTTGACAGCTATATGGTGAAGTTGGGCTACACTCGGAGCTCATATGATTGTTGTGTCTACTACAATAGGCTCAAAGATGATTCATTCATCTACCTGGTGCTTTATGTAGATGATATGTTGATAGCTGCAAAGCAGAAGTATGACGTCCAGAAGCTGAAGGGTTTACTTAGTGCTGAGTTTGAGATGAAGGATCTGGGAGCCGCTCGGAAGATTTTAGGGATGGAGATCATCAGAGACAGAGAGAAAAGGAAACTTTTCTTGTCACAAAGAGGTTACATTCAGAAGGTCTTGACGAGGTTTGGGATGNCCCCAGTGCTGCCAATATCCATCTCACTGCCATGTTCGCTCCACAGTCAGAAGAAGAGAAGGAGTATATGTCACGAGTCCCTTATGCTAGTGCTGTAGGAAGTTTGATGTATGCTATGGTTTGTACAAGGCCAGATTTAGCACATGCAGTGAGTGTAGTTAGCAGATTCATGGGACAACCAGGGAGAGAACACTGGCAGGCTGTGAAGAGGATTTTCCGGTACCTTAAGGGTACATCTGACGTTGGTCTCATTTATGGAGGTGATACTCAGTGTTTGGTCACAGGATTTTCTGATTCTGACTATGCTGGAGATGTTGACACGAGGAGATCAATGACTAGCTATGTGTTTACTCTCGGAGGTTCTGTCGTTAGCTGGAAGGCAACCTTGCAACCTACGGTGACTTTGTCAACTACGGAAGCAGAGTACATGGCCTTGACAGAAGCTGCAAAGGAAGGAATTTGGTTGAAAGGGCTGGTTAGTGATCTCGGTTTGCATCATGATAAGGCTACAGTGTATTGTGACAGTTTGAGCGCGATTTGTCTAGCCAAGGATCAAGTCCATCATGAGAGAACCAAGCATATTGACGTGAGGTATCATTTCCTGAGGAGTGAGAGAAGAATCCAGGTGAAGAAAGTAGGAACTGCTGATAATCCTGCTGATATGTTCACAAAGCCGGTTCCGCGAAGCAAGTTTCAACACTGTTTGGACTTGCTTAACATCAGAAGCTGTTAGTTGCCCTGTGGGGCAATTCTGAGGAAGAGGGGGAGATCTGGTCTGAAGAATCTGTATGAAGAATTCAAGTCAAGGTGGAGATTTGTTGTAATGCCTTGAATCTGATCCGTTACAGCTCCAAATCCGGAGAAGTCCAAATCCGGAGAAGTCAAAATCCGGAGAAGTCTGGCTTTTGAGAAATCCGAATTCCGGAGAAGTTGAGAAATCCGAATTCCGAGAAATCCGAATCTTGAGAGATCCGAACCCACGATTTCGGCATAACATAGTTTGACTCCAAAAAAAAGTCAAAATAGATGAATACTATGGACCTAGTATTTGTAATGGCATATGAGATGATATTAAGAACAAGCGTGTTTCAAAATGGTAGATAGTTTTTCTCAGTCGATTTGAGTATCCATTAAGCATCTGCGAGTCTGTTTGGCATTCCACTGAACTAGAACATTGAGATGTTGATAATGAGCTCCAAAAGTTTGTAAATTTATCTCTCGATCTTCATGGAAATAATTTTGCAAGAATGGGCTGATTATAGTCATATTACATTGATCAAGAAAAAGGATAATTTTTCTGGATACTGATGATGAAAAGAAAAAGTTAGCCCTTATGGGGTGTAAAAGGGACAATCAAGAATGGGCTGATTATAGTCATATTACATTGAAGGACTTATGATTTTTTTGTTTCGATTTTATTTATTGTGTTGAAGTATATATTTGCTAGTTCAGTACAGAATTCTAATTCTGGTTGTAAAGATGAAAATATGCAGTGCCAATTTGTCAAGATGGTTTTTTTGTATCCCATGTGTTAAAATGATTTATGCTCCAAGAAAATATCTGTTTATGACATTTGCAAACTCTCATATGAAGTTCTGTAGTTGGTGCATCGGTCTGACTTGTGCTTTGGTATCATTTTCGTGTTTGTAGATGATGGCCCCGGATCACTTCGTGATGGATGCCGTAAGAGAGAGCCACTTTGGATTGTCTTTGACGTTTCAGGTGTCATACACCTCTCATCTTACCTAAGTGTGTCATCTTATAAGACCATTGATGGACGTGGGCAAAAGGTGAAGCTCACTGGCAAGGGCTTGCGACTAAAGGAGTGTGAACACGTTATTGTATGCAACTTGGAGTTTGAAGGTGGCAGAGGGCACGATGTTGATGGTATTCAAATAAAACCCAACTCTAGGCACATATGGATTGATCGCTGCTCCCTTCGTGATTATGATGATGGTCTGATAGACATAACCAGACAAAGCACTGACATAACAATCTCTAGGTTTGCCAGCATTTTCTAACATTGCGTAATGACTTGTTTGCTATGGAGGTAATGCCGAGTTTTGCCTTGCAGATGTTACTTTGCAGCTCATGATAAAACAATGCTTATCGGAGCAGACCCCTCTCACGTCGATGATAGATGCATAAGAGTGACCATCCACCATTGCTTTTTTGATGGCACGCGTCAAAGGCAGCCCCGTGTTAGATTTGGTAAAGTTCACCTGTACAACAACTACACAAGAAATTGGGGTATATATGCAGTCTGTGCCAGTGTGGAATCACAGGTATGTTTAGTTGCTGTTTATTATATACGGCTTGTGATTTGTGAATGTTGAAAACTGGAAACCTCTGCATGGTTTGGTTCCAGGTTTATTCTCAATGCAACATTTATGAAGCAGGACAGAAGAAAAAAGCTTTTGAATACTACACAGAGAAGGTAACTTTACAACTGTTGGTCTTTTGCACGATAATTTACTTCTTGTAACTGAAAACTAAAAGTTTATATCGTATATTTAAAAAGAGCTAATGGCTCTCTTGTTGGAGCTCGGGCTGTAACGACTTCAGAAGCACAAGTCTCTCATCTTTGGTGTGCTTAATCTTTCCCTAGTTGTGTAAATTTTTTATGTATGGACTCCATCCCAAAAACAGAAGGAAATAAATAGCATCACGTTACAACATGCATAAATATTCTTGTTCATCTATTTTTTGATGAATATAATTCCCAATTGGCTACTGGTTTTCAATTTAAGGCATTATGGCACTCCAACGCATTAAAGGATTATCACCAAATATTTCCTTTATTTGTTTAGATGTTTTTCGTTCATCCTAATACTCGTACTTTTTGTTTATGGAGCTAAAAGAGTAATTATTGAGCATTGATAATGTTTTAGTTTTGGGCAAATAATGGACTAAATCAAAATGAATCATAAACTTAATTGCTTCTTACTTTCTGTGAAGTTTTGGGCAGTAAATGCAGCAATGCATCTAGGGTCTAATGGAAACAGGCTCTCTCTTTTTACTGGGGTAAGACTACATACATCTTGACCCCCAGAGCCCAAGGGAGTTGGGATTATACTAGGTCGTTGTCATTGTAGAATATCCGTATAGATGCGTGCGAGTATATGACCAATTTAATCAACCATTCAGTATTTTGTTATTTAGGCAGCAGACAAAGAGGAGGCAGGATCAGGCATAATTATATCAGAGGGTGATTTGTTTCTGAATGGAGCTCAAGGAATTTTAAAACCTGAAGCTAATCAGCAGCTTTTCCATCCAAGTGAATTTTACCCTGATTGGACATTGGAACAGCCGTCCGATTCCCTCAAAACTGTTCTCCAAATTTGCACAGGTTGGCAATCTCTTCCTTGTCCAGCAGAGTAACATTCCAAGCCAACCATATGCATTGCCAAGGAGAAAACTATTGTTTCTCGAATGTAGATAGAGCATCTTACTTGGAATGCGGACATCTCTGTTTATTTTACACACAAAACCATACCATGGAGAGCATGCAAATCTTGGTTTAAATATAACACTTTCTCCGCCCTAAAAAAGAGCCAAGTTTGCAATATTGGGGTCAGTATTGTGCCTAAATGCTCCCTTTTAAGTTTTAATTTGTAGTAGGATATATACTCTCAATATTTGTAATGAGAATTTATTCTATTCTCCTTTTCCTGTCTCACTGGTGTGCCTCATGTTTGGATGATGATTATGATGATTGATGATCATTGTCATAACTCATAACCACGTTAACCTCACCTAGTTGGGATCCGTGGCATTTTTCCACTCAATTGTACATAATTAGTTAACAGTAAGTTAATTTGCAAAAAAACACAGTGGGAATGTTTTACGACACATACCCTTCCTGTTGCAACCTTCATCACAAAGAATAATGAGATGAACTGTAAAACCACTATCATCATAGGTTATTTCCATATAAATTGAAAATTCCATGAAATGCTGAGTGCTTTGAAATATTTGGTATCGTAATGTCCATTACATGTTTGATATTGCAAGACGAGCACACAAATGGAACAGAGTAAGTGAGACAGGTTTTGTATGTTGTCCCACATAATGCCATCATAACAAATAATCAAATGTACAGAAAAGGGTGTAATCACCATATTTTCTTTTTTGCATTCAGACTAAACTAATTCCTTGTCAATGTTGATGTAGTTTATTAAGGATGTTTTAAATTGTTTCACAAGTTTGATAGTTTCATAGTTGATACAAAGGATGTTTTTTGCTCTAAATATTGATTCCACCCATATTTGGCTTACTGGAATCTGGAAGAGAGAGTTTATATATGTGGAATGTTGTTTAAGTGCCTTGAATCAAGGACGAAACTGTGATACAACGGATAATGAGCTTGATGATGATGATGATGCTGAACCACCGGACATGGATGTTCCATGGAACAGATCTGACAAGTAGCTTCCCAAATTATCAGGAGAATACCTCACCAGCACCTCCATGCTCCCTTTACTGCTCACCACTTCCAGGTACGCATCATAAAATTCCTTATACGCTGGTACTAATTCTTTAGCCAGTGCCAATTTTATTTCAGCTCGGAATTCTGTGATATGCCTCTCTATAACATCACCCGGTAGCGATGGGTCCAATCTTTCTGGCAGACATGAGAGCACTTTCGCCCACGCCATTGCTGTGTAATTTGCTGCATATGAGTTCACCTTCCTGTCGAGAGTCAGCAGCCAGTCATCCCCGAGGAGAAGCATGAGAGGGGAGCTTGACCTTACCCTCTCCGCGACGAAATGAAAATTGTTCGCTAGGAAAAGATATGATAGAGCTATATCTTTGTAGAGCCTCGATTTGGTGTCAAGTTTGCAGAGAAGCATGAGGATGATTCGATCAATCTGGGCAGAGTCTGACTCACACTCATCACCAGCTATCTCATTGAAGGTTTTGGAGCAGTCTCCCATTGACAGCACAAAATCCATAACCGAAAGGGTCAATGGATGTATCCCTCCTCCATGGATTAGTGTTCTTGATGAATCCTTCAGTATGGACTTCTCAAAATCAGAAACGAGTGTTTGGACTGAACTTTTGAGTTTGTGAAGAGAGGCGAAGGCTTGTAGTATGACTTCTGAGACCGATTCGTATGAGAAGATTAATTTGATCTCGGGAACGAGCTCCGAAATCTCATTGTACATGTCCATGAGCAGGAAGACGTGCGTTGGCGATCTCTTGCTCTTTGCTGCAACAAGTTCTGGGAATTTGAGCAGGTTAATAGCACCTTCTTTTGCTATATGGGCGAAACATGTTTCTCTCATTGTTTCAGATGTAGAGAAGACGTGGTCACAGAGAAGCCTCTCGCCATTGAAGAGGGACCTCACTGCAATATTCACTGCGCTTAACCAGTTCTTGATCTGGTCCTCAAGAACACTTGAACCCATCTTTCTGATGTGGGACGATGAGCTGTATTGCCTTATTCCAACGCGATACAACTCTTCATCCAAAACTGACTTTCTCACAAGTTTATATATATTGACACATTCTTTTGCATAGCCCGAGCTGACCATCCAGTTCCCAATCTGCCCGAGGTCACTCACAGCTACACCAATCTCATTGTCTGTGAAAACACCATCTTCTTGTTTGGAATTAGATGAATGTGACCTAGAAGATGATCCCTGGGACACAGATTCTGGATCCAAACGCTCCCTATTTGTCTCCAATATTTGATGAAACTCATTCCCGAGCCTCTTCATGGCCATCTGCATTGACTTCTGCGCTTGAACTAGCTTCCCAGAACTCGAATGGTTGATAACCAAGAAGTGCATTGCTCTTCTCAGCTCCTCCACACACCTGATGAAATCCCCGGCTTCCTCTCTGCTTTCTCGAAACAGCATCTGGTTGGAAGTGGGCCCACTCGGGTCCCATTTCTTGATGACTGCCTCGGCGATGTGAACACTTTCCTCGACCATTGTTTCTGATAGGGTGCGGGAAGGTGTTGAGGGTTGCGAATGGCTCGAAGAGGGAGAAGAGTCGGGTTTCGATGAAGCGAAGACCGATGCTTTGATCATCCTCTTCGGTGTTGAAGGCAATGTCATCTCTCTCATGGTATGTATCAATAAACCTTTATATTGTAAGTTTTGGTTGTGTTTTTAGTTGCAGTGTAACCTGAGCTTAAAATAGAGGGAAAAAGTTTAAAAGTGAAGTTGTTGAGAAGCAAGTGTGAATTTTCTAACACTTGTTGACTCAAGCTTAAATTTGGAAATTGAATTGGTCTTTAGTCTTGGTCTTCCCATAAAAAAAGGGTCAATTATTTGACTCGGACTTAATTCACTGATTGAAAGCTCCAATTCTGAACTATGTATGAAGTAAATTTTGGTGGAAATAATAACTTATTCTTAACTATGTTTGAACGTGTTAGGATCTCTCTCTTCACCCACGAATCCCGATGGTATATGGTTATATATTGATGATTTCAAAAAATGCACAGGCTATGTTCTATTCACCTGATCTGAGTAGTTCTAACATGATTGTGAATGTAGTTATATTTAAAGCAATTTTTTTGATTTGATTTGGTCTGATTTCAATAAAAAAAAGTAATAATTAATAAGAATAAGTTAAAGAGAACATGGCTTCAACAGTGGATTTATTTTCCAAGTGTGTAAACTTTTTGCACTCCTCCGGCCATGAATTTTCATGCTTTTCCTCGTAGTTTTAAAACCCGCACCAGACCGGCTGGTTTCGAATGGAAATTGGCCAACCGGAAGCCAAACCGGTCCGGTCTAGCCCCAAAGACCGTGATGTGCATCGAGTCAGCTGGAATCGGTAAGAACCCGCCAGTTTAACTAGTGACCAGTTTTTTGTGCAATTATCTCAAAAACTGTTACAAGGGGTTTCGAATACAAGACGGTCTCATCCAGCCCCAAAGACCGTGATGTGCACCGAACTGGCTCGAACTAGCTGGAACCGGTAAGAACCGGCCGATTTAACTAGTGACCTTTTATTTGTGCAACTATCCCAAATATTGTTACAAAGGGTTGCTCTCTAGTTAGACTAGCCACCATCTATGCTAGAGTACCTTTTATTACATGACGTCGGTGGGCGTTGCGCAGTTGGCAATGCAAGGGGTGCTAAGGGGGTAAAACTCGAGTTCAATTCCTGACAACTGCGCTGGAAGGCAATTATGCTAAACATAGGGCCTCTATAGGTACCAGATGCAGGTTCCACTCTTTGTCACCAATCTGCGATTAAAGTCTAATTTACCTCCTCTCAGTGACCGTCCAGCCGGGTCTAAGGGGGCCTTCGGGGATGGGGCTCATCTTTTTTTACATGATGACATAAAGCAGTTATATATTACATTATTAAAAGTATACATATATATTACTTTTAACAATTTTTGGGATAGTTTTATTAGATAGATAACCAAAACTTTGATGGACAAAATGCTTTAATGTGGACTTGGGGCGAGATTGGCAATGCATAAATGCATAATAGACACTTTTAATGACTTTGGGTGAGATTGGCATAAATGCACAATAGATGAATAGACACTTTTAATGTTAGTACCGCGGGGTAGTGACACATCCTATTTCAGATCTTTCACAAAAAAGGATGACACCCCATTTCGAGAGTCCCTGAGCACTGGCCGGACAGTTAGCTGAAAAAATGTTAAATAAGCTATAATTTCGGTCAATTGGCATAAGGTTGAGGTTCCGTGTCTGATACTTGTAGAAGCCACATGCTTTACATAGTTGTCTTTCATTGCAGCTACTAAACTTCGAACTCGAAATCTCTCCCTTGTAGTACCCCTATACGACCACTGAGCAACGTCTCACCGTCTCTCACCATCAATTTCATATCTTTCACATGAAAATGAGAAGGGACTATTATGGAGTGTTTAACATAATTGAGATATGAAAATAATGCTTTTGTGAAGAATTGGAACACCTTACATTAGTAAAGGAAAAGGACTAGGCAATCAATTGCAATAGCCAATAAAGGGAGGATATATTTAAAAATAACGTTACGGAGTAGCTTGATACGGAGTATACTTCAATTTGCATTTAAATATAAATACAAAATTTCAGCATAAATCTTTTTCAGGTTGCTTCTACCGACTTCCAACCGACTCTCTTCCTTCTTAAAGCTTACTACTCCCTCCGTCCCATTTTATAACGTCTGTTTCGGTTTACGATGTTTGACTGAAGTTATTTTCAAATCATTTTATATGACAAATGGTATAGAGTTAAAAAATAAAAATTACATATCAAAATACTACATCAAAAGATCTACAAAACTAGTAGTGACAACAATATCTTACTTTATCAAATTGCTAACAAAAATAGAGAAAGAAAGTGAATGAAGTTTGATCCTGTGAATAGTAAACATGCATTATAATTTGGGACAGAGGGAGTAGCTCCTAATGTTGATGAATTTATATTTTACCCTTTCAAACTTTGATTGTGGTATTTTATCCTATTACATACCTCCCCATATATTGGATATGTTAATTTTTTTGAAAGGGGTAAAAATGGTAGTTAGAGCAGAGATTGTTCCATTTGTTTTTTCTGATTGAGTCTGATGTGATTTTATTCTGATGATCTTTGGTCGAGTTTGATCTGGTTTGATTTGATTGTAATTACAGTTAAAACTGTTTTTATGCGATCTGGTTTTAATAAAAATAAGTAATAAGTAATAAAAGTAAATTATAGAAAACAAGCTCTTAATGTTGATGAGGGTATGTTTTCTAATGTTCTGAAAATTGGACTAGACATCGACCCGGACGAGAGAGTGGGTCAAGGGCTAATTGGTTAAACCGGTCAACCCGGGGGTCAACAACCCGGTCAAACTATAATTAAAATACTAATATTTTATATTATATTATTAGATATTTTTAGTTAAAAAACTATTTAGCTTGTGTTTTTTACTTCTCAATCTAGTTTATAATATCATTGTGAATATATTATTTCACAATTTCTATTTTTATTCTATTATTTTTATTATTATTAAAAATTAATAGTGAATGTGTAAGAGATACTTAAATAATAAGGTAATACTCAATTTTTTTTTAAAATAAAGAATAGATAATATGTTCTTATATACGTACTATTTACAATTTACGGAGTAAAATTTATATTTAGTTGATTAAATGATTGAAAATATAAAAAAATAGCATATTAAATTATAATTAATATTTTAAAGATGAAAATAATATTTTAAGTATATATTATTTATATTTTTCTTAAGATAAAAAATAAATAATACTAATTATTTTTAAGTTTAAACTACTTTAAAGTTTAATAATATAAATACAATATATAAACATAGTTCTTTTTTTAAATAATAGGAAGTCTTTTTAAATTACTCTCTAAATAGATTAAAACACCGATATATTACTCCGTATTAAGTTATTTGTTGTAACACCCCGACCCCCACCTTAGTCGTAAGTGTCCGCTCATACACACTTTGCCCTCACTCATGCGCACCCAAGGAAACTTCCCAGGAGGTGATCACCCATCCTAGAATTGCTCCAGGTCAAGCACGCTTAACTTTGGAGTTTTTAGGTGATGAGCTCTCGAAAAGAAGATGCACCTTGTTGGTATGAGTAGTACTATCAATTCTTTTAAGCTCTTCCCATTCCCATCTTAATACAGGGTATTACATTTGTACCCCAAAATATACATCATATGTGTGCACCTACATTTTGTGCCTCTGTGATGTTAGAGTGATGGTTCATACAGGCCAGCACAAAATATTAGTACAATTATTTTTGTGGCACTAGTATTTTGTGTCAGTGTGAACTATCAAAATGTTGGTATATATTTTTGGTAATTTTGGAGTACACTTCTTGGTGTAATTGTAGCAAAGTTGATATTGCATGGAGTATATAATTTTGACGTTATGTCTCACTTTTATTTTTTGTCCAAACAAGATATGTTTTGTTATTATATTTTTGGAACAAAACACGCTCTAAGATCAAATTATGTCATCATATTTTTTCCCCTTTTAAATTAAACTAACTTATATGTTTTTTTTCTTTTTTGTTATGCTATAAAAAAGTAAAAGAATAATTGAAACCAAATATAGGGTTACTTATAACGTATTTATATGATTTTTTTCTAAAAATGGTGGTAATCCTATTTTTAGTTGTGCAGTAGAGTATTTTTCAATTATGAGTTCTTTTTTCTTTTTTATTGAGTATTTTGTAGTATTTTAGTTGAACAAATCCTATATATATAATTGAAATATAAAAAAATTAAAATATAATACCGAAAAAAACCCGGAATAGAAAAATGAAAAAAAGTAAATTTTTTGTTATGAAAGATAGAATTTAATTTGAGTAGAAATAGATAAATTTTAAATAAAAAATAAAAATATAATCATTGTATTAGGAGAGAGACACTACGGGTGTTAAGTGAGTGAGATTGTGAATGCAGTCAGCACTGATGTAGCACTGAGTAGTTGCTGATTCAGAATGAGTATTGGTAGAACGCCACAAATAACCTTAAAAGAGACTTAATTTTATTTTTAGATGAAAATTATAGGAAGTAAGAAAAAATGAGGAGCATACTCAAGGCGTAAGTGAGTGCGTCATCCTAATAATATTCAAAATGAAAAGAAGAATTGGGGATGAAGCTAAGTAAGTATTTATCTTTCCTCTTTTTAGAGTATTTTGTTGTGTTTTTCAACTAATAGCATTCTTAGCTGTTACATGACCACCAAGAAAACTATAGATTCTTTTCACTAATCACTCTTTACTCTTTGGAATTAAGAGAGAGGTTAACTAAGCACTCATTTGGATTAAATCTAATATAATGGATATATAGAAGAATTTTATTTTAGAATGGAACTGCAAAAATATTACAGATGTATAGTAATTAACAGAACGATTCATTTATCTGTTATAGAGGTGAGTAACACATTTGTTAGCACGTTCTTCATATTTTTCTTAGGGTACGTGGTTGGGGTCTTTTCGAACATTATTTTACAAGCTTTAATTTATCAAAAAAAAAGTAGAATGTAGAATAATTTTATTTTCCTTTCCCTAGAATATCCAAACAAGATGGAAAAAAATACATTTATTTTCTTTTAAATTTT